CACATCCAATATCATCACACTGATTGGAGTCAAGGTTGGCTCACTCCTGGCTCCAATTAGCTCTGGGAGAAGTCATTAAGCTAGGGCCGCACATACTTTTTCCTCCCTGCACTGTGAATGTTTACATGTTATGTGCAATTAAACCATGGCAACATCTAATGTTTGTGTAGTATTATGTTCAGCAGACTGTGTTCTTCTATTGTTGTAATTTAGATGATGTTCAGAGCACATTTCATGCCCAATTCATGCAAAACTCCACGTAATCCCAAGGGGTTCACATACTTTTTCTTGCAACTGTATATATATTTGGACACAGGCACAGTTTTTTTCAGTTATTACCAAAACATATTCAAGCTATATTTATATAATGGATATGTGGATATGGGCAGAAAGTGCACACTCTCAGGTTTAGTTGGGGGTATGTACATCCAAATTGGAGGAAGGGTTTAGGAATTACAGCTCTTAAGAGTAGCCACCCCCCCCCCCTTTTTCAAGGGACCAAAGGTAATTGGATAATTGAATCAAAAACTGTTTCATGGCCAGGTGTGGGCTACTCCATTATTTCTTCATCAATTAAGCAGGTAAAAGGTCTGGAGTTGATTCTAAGTATGGTATTTGCATTTGGAATTTATTGCTGTGAACCTACATCATGTGTTCAAAGGAGCTGTCCTTGCAAGTCAAACAGGCCATTGTAAGGCTTCAAAAATTAAACAAATCCACCAGAGAGATAGCAACATTAGGAGTGGCCAAATCAACAGTTTGGTACATGCTGAGGAAAGAAGAACACACTGGTGAGCGCAGCAACATAAAAAGGCATGGACATCCATGGGAGACAACAGTGGTGGATGATCGCAGGATCCTCTCTATGGTAAAGAAAACCCCATTCACAACATCCAGACAAGTGAAGGACACGCTCCAGGAGGTGGACGTATCATTGTCCAAGTCTACAATCAAGAGAAGACTTCAAATACAGAGCATTCACCACAAGGTGCAAACCATTCATAAGCCTGAGGAATAGAAAAGCCAGATTAGACTTTTCAAATAGCATCTAAAAATGCCAGACCAGTTCTGGAAAAGCATTCTTTGGATGGATGAAACTAAGATTAATCTGTACCAGAATGACAGGAAGAAAAAAGTGTGGAGAAGGCTTGGAACAGCTCATTACATTTGAGCCCCTGAAAATGGGGGGACTGTGTATAAAAATGGTTGCAGTTCCCAAAATGTGTACTTGATATTTATGTTCAACCCCTTGAATTAAAGCTGAAAGTCTGCACTTCAAATTCATTTGGATTGTTTCGTTTGAATTTATTAATGTGGCATACAGAGCCAAAAGTATGAAAATTGTGCCTGTGTTCAAATATATATGGACCTAACTGTATGTATATTTGTATTATTTTTTATTTTGTAGCTTACAAATAAAAAGGTTATTCTAGACAGGAAAAAAATATGATCACGGGAGGCAATTTTTAACTAAGGTGAAACGTTCCCTGTAAAATATTAATTTTAATACCAGTGGCATTTATCTGCTGGTAGTAATATCAAGTTAATGAGCACTAATTATCAGCAGTATCAATTATTCTATGCTTCCCTGCAGGATCCTTTTACCGCATACTGTCATTTAGCCAATACCAGGTAATGATGCATCCTCTAATGTATAATGATAAAATTTAACCTCAACTCTATGAACAGATAGCTATGGTAATGCAGAATGAAAAAAATAAAAATGTAGAGTGAGAACAGACCCAATAACACACGCATGCTAGTAGTGACAATAGCAAATATGTAACAGTATTTTGTCTAAATACATAGTTATTCTCTACATAATTAAGGTATGCAGTGCAGGTCACCTTATATTGAAGTGCATCCAAGCATAAAACTTTTTTTGTTTTAGACAGAGTTGTAAATGAATAAAGCCCTTATGCAGTTTTTTTTTTTTTGTTTGCTTTTTTTTGTGTGTCTTGTAGGACACATTTTGCTTTACTTAATGTCATGCAGATACAGTAGGTAGTAAGATGAAATCCCCTCTTAGGCTGGCCATACACTATACAATTTTCTGTTCAATTTCCTTTAGATTTACCTTCAACTATGTAGTGCAAGGGCCTGCCTAATAGGATACAATTGAAAGTGTTGTTTAGGTTTGACCTCCTATTATATAGTTTTTGGTAAATCTAAACCAAAAATCTCAGAAAATTGTTTAATGTATGGTCAGTCTTAGACAGTTGTCACCAGAACAGGTGTCCCCATTGAAAGAATTCCCCTAACCACGAGCTGAAGGAAAGTAAATTGCGTGATTCCCTCATCAATACATTCTGTGTTTATGGGGGAATCCCCCCTGCTGAGCAATTGTATTCTGACAGCAAGAGGTTTCCCCGCTGTCAGTATACAGTGGGGTTGATTTACTAAAGGCAAATAGTCTGTGCATGAAAAGTGCAGTTGCTCTAGATCTGAGGGGAAGCTCTGAAATGAAGGGAAGCTCTGCAGATTTCTAACATCCAATCATGTGCAAGCAAAAATGCTGTTTTTTTTAGCTTCCATGCGATTGGGTATTCTTTGCAAAGTGAAGCTTTACCTTATTTACTAAGCTCTGGAGCAGCTATACTTGCAGTGCACAGTATAACTGCCTTTAGTAAATCAACTCAATTGATTACTGCTGCCAGCTATAGCCAGTGATAGTAAACGCACAAAAAAAATCCAACAGGCTGGTTGTACTGAAGAAACTGTAAGATTGACTTCAATACAACCAGCTTGCCCATAGACTGATCAAAATTCAGCTAGTCCCTGCTGAACTGGCCATACTTCAATCCAATGGCTGGCTTAAGTCTGCTATTTTTCAGCTTCCTTTAGCAAGCTGTCCAGCAAAAGTGGCAGTTAAGCTGAGCATACACTAGTGGATTTTTTCAAAATGAGCATTTGTACGAACAGTCATGCGAAAATTTGTACTACAATTTGATGACTTGTCAAGTACTTTAAAATTTCTGTCGAAATACACAAATATCAGACAAGTATTTTGCTTTGTTATACATAAACTATAGCTTAGAAAACGCATACAACAGATTCCCAAAAATGAACATTAGACTCACATAACCTTGTAACAACATGTGAGACCTCCTTCAACATGAAAAATATGATCCACAGCCACCAAGACAGGCAGAAGAGGAATGAGCTGTATACTAGGGGAATTAATGTATAAGAGGGCAGGGCCCTCAAGAATTAGAGTTAACATCATTAGCTGCATGTGACTTCATAGGAGGCTTTGTAGAAGAGGTTCAAAAGTATTTCAAAATTACATTTTGGAATGAAAGGACTTTATTGAACAAAAACCACACACATGGTTAGAAATTAATCGGTTCCAGATTCATTTTCCATACTGCTCCTTCAAATTTTCCCATCACTGCAGTATGTTAATTTGACCCCACCAATGAATATAAAATTGAGTGAACGTTCTTAAAATTACATTTTCCAAACAAATTCTACTAGTGTAGGGCCAGCTTAAAGAGGAACGTCACCCAAAAGGGGAGGTTATGCTTTTGCACCCCCCCCCCCCAATCATTTGTGGATTTTTTTTCTTGGGGGGGGGGGTACTTGGTCAAGAAGATTCCACTGGAAATTCGCCCCCGACTCTTTGACATGTCACAGGTCCCAGAAGGCTGCATGACCATTCACAAAATGCAGCACAGTGGGAAGCTAGCTGTGAAGCTGCAAGAGTCACAGCTGGCTTCTCTTAGTAAACATGCCAGCACCAGGGACCTGAAGACCAGTGAAGAACCAGCCCAGGTGAGGACAGTGCTGGAACCCTGGACAGGTAAATGTCCTTTTAACGACAGTCAGCAGCTGCTTACTTTTAATTTTTTTTTTGGGGGGGGTGTGAAGATCCTCATTAAAAGTGTTGAGATAAACCATTTAACACTGACAGGGTTGCTTACAAGAACAAGAGTCTAGTAAACATCCCGGGTATGTTAAAATTTGAAACACGAAATCATAAATTATAATTTAATAATCATAAAAAAATAATAATATAATAATAAATTTAATTCAATAATATAATCAAACCAAAAACACTGAAATTTGAAATATAGTGCCAAGTTCGCACATCACTGAGCAAAGTCGCAAAATCGTTTTCAGTGTCTGATGACGAATTTCCCCACGAATCATTATCACTCAATTCTGCAAGTGGTTCTGATTTACTATCGCTGTTCTCTAGCTGGTCTAAAACCGCTTTTGACCTAAAGGGATGCTTTTTGGACACCATGGACGTTTCTCAGTTTCCAGGCAGAAAGAACAGTAAAAATGCAGGCAGGGCACAGGACAAAGCACTAGGGACAAAATGTTTGTGAAATAATTTGATACAGTAATGTTTTACTATGTGATTTTAGTGAATTTAGTGAGTCACTTTTACAACTTTCAAATTTCCTACCAGTTCCATCCCTGTACATCCTGACGTCGCAGGGAACGGAACCCAGAAGACAGATGCCGGCATCCGCCGGAGGACATTGCCGGGGAAACTGCAGGAGGGACATCGTGGGAGCGCAGGACAAGGTAAGTGATGAAGAGATCTTGGAGCAATGCTGCAAGGTATTCCCGAGTGTAGCTCGGGGTTACCGCTTGTGGTACTGAAACTTTACCCCGAGCTACACTCGGGAATACAGCTAGGGAGGTTAAATTTGTTAGTCAAGTCCATCTAAATCTGCTAGTGTATCTAAGACTATCCAATGCTGCTGTCCAAAGGTGTCTTCACTGCCCATCCATTGAACATGGCGACAGACAGGAAGTGTGTTACTGGTTGGATCACCAGATTATTATTAGTATACAGGATTTATATAGCGCCAAGAGTTTGCTCAGCGCTTTAAAATATAACAGGAGACAAACAGAAACAATATAGTTCAATACAAGAGGGTTAGGATGAAACTAAAGGACAAAAAAAAGAAAACAAATGCAGCTAAAATACTTAAAGCAGAGCTCCACCCAAAAGGGAAAGTAACACTTTGAGCCTTTGTCCCCAGCTCCCCATTAAGGAGTGGCACCTTTGGGGAGCGAGGGGGAGGGAGTACCCGAATTTGACAGGTACCCGCTCTCACTTCTGCTGCGATCGCCTAGGCGATCGGAAGCGGAAGTTGTCCTCACCCCCTCCCTCCCCGTAGTCTTCTGGGACATGTGACGGGTCTTAGAAGACTACGGGGCCATTCACATAGTGCAGTGCTTCTCGTGCATGCACAGTGGGCACCCAGCTGTGAAGCTGCAAGCAGTCACAGATGAGTGCCCACACTGAAGATGCCAACTCCAGGGAGAGAAGATGGCCGGTGAAACCAGCTGTGGTGAGGACACCGCTGGACCGAGGGACAGGTAAGTGGCTGTATTTTAGCTGCTGACATTTATTTTATTTTTTTTCAGGTGGAACTCCGCTTTAAGGATTGGTAAGCTGCAATATATTACATTTTTGGTTTTGGTTTTATAAGAACTAGAAAGCTGATGTTGAACAGAGGTATGTAGGAAAGTCTCCAGGACTCTCAGCCAAGAGTTGGGCCATCTGTTTCTATGGCAAACAGTGCTGTTTGGTAAATGAAGCACAGGAGTAAATTGCGTAACTTACATCTAACGATGAATATTCAAATGTGACTTTAAGGCTAGAAATATCTGTATGTACTGTATATGTACAGTGATCTCTGATGACTATTTCCATAGCCCTGAATAGACACTATTGCATAAGCCTGGCGGAACTGAACAGGTTAACTGTGAAAGCAAAGGGAGCCCTCAAGAAGTGAGCAGACTTTGAGCTTTGGTAGAACATTTGTTAAATCATGTGTGATATTAAATAACTCCGCCCGGACTAATTCAGACACTGAGTGGAGGCAACATGAGCAAGGCAGCCAAGTAAAAACATGTGGCAGCACCTCTGTACGATAATGTCCAAGAAACACACTTCCCCTTCCTATGACTAACCCCAGCAAGCCTGCACAACAACAACACAAAGAAACTTCAACTGACTCAGCTAGAAATCCAAATGTCTGGAAAAGTGAGAACTAATGCTGGTTTCCTGTGCACACACAATAGCTGAATGTTGGACAGGTATTTTTTCTAATTCAGTTTATTAAATGTAGGTATTGCATAATCATAGCATATAAATTATATATACTGACAAAAAGACATACACAGCCAATTTTTAAAAATGGCAAAACATATCACATAGTAGCATTCTGTGACAACAAAGTTTCCAGTAACATTAACACTATAATAAAATGAAAAAGTTTTAAAGCAGCAGGACTATTGGATCCCCAAATACCGAAAAAATAACTGCTCCCACACTATGAGACAACCACCATAGTACTAACAAAATTTAAAAACAATTGCGGCACTAATCTAACAAAAATATATATGGCATACACCTAATAAAATAAACCAATGTTTGTGCACACAGTGTCAATACTGGAACACCCCAATAACCCTAACAGTGTTCATGGATTCCTGCATAAAGCCTAAGGCTCCAATATACTGAAGTGTGAACCGAGCTGAAAGTGCACGTTTGAACACCCAATCATGTGCAGCACTACTTCTTCTGGTCATGACTGCTTGTTTAAAATCTGCACAGGTTTACTTAAATTGCACTTAGAAATCAGGCCTTGGTCCACTTCCATTTACCACAACTAATAAATCTGGTACTAAAGTATGAAGAAAGATCTTTTCAGCTGTCACCACAACAGGAAAGTATTGTACTATACAATTTAGCTGATTTGGGGATTGAAAGCTACATTATTTTATAAAAGGTGAGAAGGTCTCCTGTTAGAATCCACGGGTCCCGTACAGCCTACCCCACAAAAAAATAAATATTACAACAAAATTTTTTATAAAAATACACTAAAAGTGTTATTAGCAGACACAAACACAAAGTAACTTACAAAATTCCTGTTAAATCTAAACGATAAAACTATATTGATTGTGTGATAGAGGTCTTGGGGCTCATTCACATGGGTGCTGTGGCCTGTACAGTGCAAATCAGTGGGTTTTTTTTGTTTGTTTTTTTTATGTGGCTGGAGCTGTGTGTAGGCAGCCTATGTTATGCTAGGTCCTAATTTGACAGACGTGTAGAGGCAGGGCCACTTACCTTACCACATCTGCACACAACTTAGGACCTGCGGCTGTGCTTGTACAGCTGCTGCATCCTCAGAGTAACAAACCAATAATTTACACTATATTGGCTAGAGAACCCGTGTGTATGAGCCCCCCCCCGTTTCTTCTATATTGTTTTCAATCTTTTTTTTCACACGCTGTTGGGGGGGGACTTTGATGAAATATCAGTGGTCTACACAGACCCCTGATGTTTGCCTGTTGAGACAAAGAAAGGGGCTAAGGATATAAATTTGCATTTCAAAAACCTGGCTTTTGTACAGGGGTGTGTAAACTTTGTATATCCACTGTATGCAGTATGAGGAAAAACCTTAATAACCAATTTAATTAGCTTTAAATCAGACAGGCCCTTGAACTACATACCGTATTTTTCGCTCCATAAGACGCACTTTTTTCCCCCAAAAAAAGGGGGGGAAATGTCAGTGCGTCTTATGGAGCGAATATGGAGCGGCCGGTCCGGTATTTCCACCGCCGCCGTGTCAGAATACCGGGCCGGCCTCTCAGCTCTGCAGTGGGACTTTACCTGTTCCTCTATCCAGCGGCGCGCTGTCTTCCCGGCTTCTGTAGTGTGCGTGACAGCCGGGTCCGAAGTGCGCATGCGCAAGAAGCTGTGCTCTTTGTGAATGGTAAGGCGGTACCTGGGACACATGACAGATCCCAGTAGCCGCCGGACCAATCACAAAGCGCAGTGCTTCTCGTGCATGCGCACTGGGCATCCTGCTGTCCGCCGAGCGCCGACACTACAGAAGCCGGGAAGACAGCGCGCGGCTGGATAGAGGAACAGGTAAGATCAAAGAACAACTCCGCGGAAGTAAGAGCGGGTACCTGTCAAATTCAGGTACCCGCTCCCCCCCCCCCTCCCCAAAGGTCAGCAGTCATCTCCTGTACTGCCCGCAGTCTCTGGTCATCTCCTGTACTGTCCGCAGTCTCTGGTCATCTCCTGTACTATGTCCGCAGTCTCTGGTCATCCCTGTACTGTCCACAGTCTCTGGTCATCCCTGTACTGTCCACAGTCTCTGGTCATCCTCTGTACTGTCCACAGTCTCTGGTCATCCTCTGTACTGTCCACAGTCTCTGGTCATCCTCTGTACTGTCCACAGTCTCTGGTCATCCTCTGTACTGTCCACAGTCTCTGGTCATCCTCTGTACTGTCCACAGTCTCTGGTCATCCTCTGTACTGTCCACAGTCTCTGGTCATCCTCTGTACTGTCCACAGTCTCTGGTCATCCTCTGTACTGTCCGCAGTCTCTGGTCATCCCTGTACTTTCCGCAGTCTCTGGTCATCTCTGTACTGTCCGCAGTCTCTGGTCATCTCCTGTACTGTGTCTGCAGTCTCTGGTCATCTCCTGTACTGTGTCTGCAGTCTCTGGTCATCTCCTGTACTGTCCGCAGTCTCTGGTCATCTCCTGTACTGTGTCTGCAGTCTCTGGTCATCTCCTGTACTGTCCACAGTCTCTGGTCATCTCCTCTACTATGTCTGCAGTCTCTGTTCATCTCCTGTACTATGTCTGCAGTCCATTAGTTCAGATTTTTTTTTTTCCTGTTTTCTGCCTCTAAAACCTAGGTGCGTCTTATGGTCAGGTGTGTCTTATGGAGCGAAAAATACGGTTGATGTTAGATCAAAAGCAGATTGTACAATCGTATTGTACAGTTACCATTAGATTAAAAAAAAATATATTATTGATCATTTGCAAAATGTAAAACTTGTTTGTACTTTAGCATGGAGGGGTTGGGAGCAAAGGACATTAGCCATTCTTTTATTTTTACTGAAAGATCTGCTTTAAGTGCATCAATAAAAGGGTCTAGGTTTCTGGAAAATCAGTCGAAAAGTCACAGCAAGATTGATTTTTGCTTGTTACTGCATATGTCTAAATAGGTTCCACGTCTGTACATAAGGTAGGCTGTACCTCCGAAAGAATCATCTAAAAATAAAACTATACATCTACAGACTACACTTATTTAATTGAGATCCTTTTTGTAGAGATTTCACCAGAATCACCTAATGAAATCTGACAGATAGAGTTCTACTGCACAGCAAAAAGATAAAGGACACCCTGTAGTTGCCCTTCCTTTGTCACAGCTGTACATAAAAAACATAAAGCTAATAAAAATGGTTATTTTATAGAAAAGACTGCTTTGGTCCTGTGAAGCAAGGATGATGCCATCACATTCTCAGAAACAAGTTGAAAATCAGCTTAGGCACAATTGACTTTTATTGAATTGATCTTCCCAGCCATAAACCTTTTAAAAGACCCTGTCATAACCTGCTACACTTCAAACTAATCACAGCCACGGAATCTGCATTAGGAGTATGGATAGAAACTCTGCCTGATGCGGCATATTTTTCTTTTAACTGTCATGTAGCCCGTCCCTGCTTAAAGAGGCTCATATAGTGGGTATAGAAAAGAATCACCCCCTTTAAAATAATCAAATTTTGTTGCTTTGCAGCCTAAAATGAAGACAGACACAGTTTTTGTTTTATCCAGCTGTTTTTACTGCAATTTATAACATCCAAATGAAATATAATACCAACATGTCAGAAATTAATAAAAAAAATCAAAAACAGATTCAATGAATTGGAAAAAGAATCACCTCCTTGTGTCAGTATTTTGTTGAACCACCTTTTGCTTTTTATTTCCAGCCTTTAGTCTGTTGTGAAATGTCTCTACTAACTTTGCACACATCTAGACTTTGCAATATTTGCCCACTCTTGTAAGAACTGCACAAGTTTGGTTAAATTTGATGGTGACTGTTTGTGGACTGCAGTCTTCAAGTCTTTCCACAGATTTTCAATGGGGTTTAAGTCTGGGCTCTGACTAGGCCATGCAAGGACATTAACCTTTTGTCCATCAACCACTGGGTGTTCAGTTTTGCTGTGTGCTTTGGGTACAACTCATTAAAGCTTATCGCATAAGTTAAGTCAGCCACATGACCACATATCTCATGCGATACTGAAAATGTCAATTCACTATTTTGTCTAATTTTTATAACAGCCTGTATCACAGTAAGATTTCCCTTCACTTTCTGCCCCATAGAATGGTGGTATCTTGTGCAGGAGGTGAAGTAAAATCTCCCCAGTGATGGTACAGACTGATGATATTAAGGTGTGACGAAACGCAAAATATGTGAAGAGAATCTGGGAGTAGTACTGAA